GAAAAAAAAAACCAAAAACAAATAAGAAAATTTACAACATTGTTGTTATCAAATATTAAAACAAAACTCTTTTGAGTTACGATGGTTATGGATAAGAGACTCAGTTGGATGCAATTACAATTTTTAGAGAATATCAAATAGTTTTAAAATCGGATTCATTACAAGAACTTGGGACTTTTTTGAGATGAAGATTATTATTGCTCTATTCAACGGAGATCCGGAGTTCCACTAGAAGATAGGTATCATTAAAAAATAACATATTCTGGTTCAAAATCAATATGAAATTACGTTGGGCGCCAATTTTAAAATGCTAAGATTACATCAAATTTTTATTCATATGAAATGAAAAACCAGTAAAGAAAGTCTTAAAGTCGGGCGGGCCGACTTTATGATACCCTACACCACTCTACCAATTTAGTAGAGCTTCGCATAACAATTAAAAGTTTTTATGGGAGAATTCAATCATACACACTATATTATAATTAAAATTTAAGGTTCAAGGAACTAAATATGCCTTTTTAAATTCAGACTTGTATTGCCCATTTGGTGCACAATAAATTTGATATATATATATGGGAGCTATATCCAAATCGGAACCGATCTCCATAAAATTTGGCAAAGATATTTCTGAGCTGTATTTGATATATTTACCTGCATACCGTTGTTACGGAGTGCATATTACGGCTGTGGGTAACAAATATAACAAATCGGATGAACAGTATATATGGGAGCTATAACTATATCTGAACCGATCTTCACCAAATTTGACATACTAGCTTCTAGACTCAATTCGGTAGTAAGTACCAAATTCCATTCCATTTGGACAAATATTAGACGTTTGGTGCACAATGAAAGGTAAATCGGACGAAGTTATATATGGAACTATATCCAAATCTTAACCGATCTCGATAAAATTTGGCAAATGTATTTCTGAGCTGTATTTGATATATTTCCCCAAATATTGTTGTTACAGAGTGCATATTACGGCTGTGAAGGACAAAAATAACAAATCGGATGAACAATATATATGGGAGCTATAGCTATATATGAACCGATTTCGATCAAATTTGGCATACTTATTTTCAGGCCTAATTTGCTTGTATGTCGAAATTGCCATACTATTCGGGCTGATATTACACGTTTGGTGCACAATAAAAGACAAATCGGACGAAGATATATGTGGGAGCTTTATCTAAATTTTGACCGATTATCTCCAATTTCAAGAGGGTTAGTCTTTGGACCAAACAAATGATTTGTGCAAAATTTCATCTGGATAGGGCAAAAAATTCGAACTGTACTTTGTTTACAAAAATATATGGACAGACGGACAGACAGAGGGACGGACATGCATAAATCGACTCAGAATGTGATTCTATGCAGATCATCAAAAGGAACTATGGGTCTATCTCGTTTCCTTTTGCCTGTTACAAACAAATGCACAAAGACATAATACCCTGACCACCTTGTGGTGTAGGGTATACAAAATATATTTCTCGTTGGGTGCCACTTGAGGAAAATTTTTAAATGACATAGATCTCTATCTATCTCTTCTTTTCTAATGAAAATCCTCAATACGATGTTACGTTGGGCGCCACTTTGAAACTAAAATTTAATTTGTTAAGATTGCATAAAATTTTAATTCATGTGAAATACAAATAAACAAGTATAACAGCAGTACGTTCGACCGGGTCCAATTTCGAACACCCTCCACCATTTCAAACAAATAGAGAAATCTTCAAAAAAAAAAAAAAAAATAATAATAATAATAATAAATAAATAAATAAAAAAATTCTAAACATATCGAATATAGCCGTTATATTGGAGTCTATACAAAGACGTGGACCGGTATAGACTACTTTTGTCATAAGCCATTACAATATTCAAATACGAAACATGAAAAAAAATCCGGTGAAAATGTAGCTAAAATCATCAAAATTCCGTACATCGGGGCTACCTTTATATGGGGGCTATACGAATACGTGGACCTGCATAGACAATTTTCTATCATAGGCTGTATTCATTACGAATTTCAAATGCGAAATTTGAAACAATGCCGGTAAATAATGTCGCTAAAATCTCCAAAATACCAATTATCGGGAGGTACTGTTATATGGGCGCTATACGAAGACGTGGACCAATTTTCTGTCGTAGGCTGTAGTATTCATTACGAACTTCAAATACTAAATTTGAAATAGTTCCGGTAAATAATGTCGCTAAAATCATCAAAATACCGAATGTGGGGAGGTACCGTTATATGGGGGCTATACGAAGACGTGGACCTTTTCGAACTTCAAATACTAACTTTGAAATAATTCCGGTAAATAATGACGCTAAAATCATCAAAATACCGAATATTGGGAGGTATCCTTATATGGATGCAATACGAAGACGTGGACCTGCAAACCCAATTTTTTGTCATAGGCTGTAGTACCCATTACAATACTCAGAAGGACAATTTCATTGAAAAACTTGGATACAATCATCAAAATACCGAACCGTTATACTATATTGTGGACCGATGTGGCCCATCTTTAAACTTCACCTGTCTGCAGACAAAAGACTGATCTGTGCAAAATTATAGCTTCCAATCTTTATTCGTTTCGTTATAACAAAAGAGGGACAGATGGGCGGAATTTTACTATGTATATGGTGGAGGGTATAAAAAATATGTCTCGTTGGGCGCCACTTCTTTTTAAGAGTCAGGAAATTCTCATTCGTCTATTTCGTTGAGAGATATAAATCTCAAGGAAAAAAACGTTGGGCGCCACTTTAAGATGCCTTTGCAATCAGAACTGCAGAAATTAAAAAATTTGCAATTTAATTGGAAAAAAATCGAGTTATTATTATTGAATTGTTGGGCGCCACTAGAGGACAATTAATTTCTATCAAAAGTCAGCCTTTACAACATTTATAAATTCTCTAAATTAAAATATTTGAGGGAGATTACAAATCTAAATTTGTTTTTTTTTTTGGAGAAAATCGTAATGTAACATGGCGTTGGGCGCCATTTGGTAGAAAGGCAACAATAAAACCTGTAGAAATGTAAAATCAGCGATCTTCTCATGGACTATCAGTGTTCTCCTCAAATATGATGGAGTTTTCTTCTTATAGAAGATCAAGCGATAATTTTATAGATTATCAGGTGATTTTTGCACAGAATCTCACAGAAGATCAGATCTGTTGATCTTATTACAGAAGATCAGGTGAACTTCTCCTAGAATATTTTGGTCTCAACAGAAAACCAGATCATCTCATAGAAGATCAGGTGATCTTCTCATAGAAGATAAAGCGATCTTCTCAAAGAAGACCAAGTGATCTTCTCATAGAAGATCAGGTGGTCTTAGGTCATCTTCTCGGAAGATTAGGTCATCTTGTCACAGAAAATCCAGTGATCTTCCTTGGAATAACGAGCAATCTTCTCTTGGAAGATCAAGTGATCTTCTCATATAAGATCAAGTGATTGCACATAAAAGATCAAGATCTTCTCAAAGAAGAAGAGGCGTTCTTATCATGAAATATCAGTGAATTTTCCAATAGAAAATCCGGTAAACTTTCAGTAGATGATAAGGGGATCTTCCAGTAGAAGACCTTTTCATAAAAGTTTAGTTGATATTAATAAAAAAACTAATTTTTGGAGTTCAGCTTATCTTCTCGTAAAAGAACAGTTGTTTCTCTCATAGAAGATCAGGTGATCTAATAGAAGGTCTGTATGATAAGGACACTTTTTTATAGAAGTTCGGAAAATCAGGACATCTTATCATAGAAGGTTCTTTCGTAGAAAATTAGGCGGCAATATAATAGAAAATAGGGTAATCGTTTACTGGCAGATAATTAAGGCCTTCTATAAGATGAACTGCTCATCTTCTATTTGAAAATCTGAAAAAGTTCGAAGAAAAATCAGAAAAGCTTTATTGAAATAGAGCAACATGTTTTAAGGAAAATCAATTGTTGATCTCCTTAAAGAAGATTTTCTGAATTTTTGGAATATTGTAATCTTGGGAGCTATTTCAAAGCCTGAACTCGCATTGAATTTTATTTTGCCAGGATGTCTTCAACACATTTCTAGTGTTAAATGCTGAAAGTGTGGCCAGGACCTTCCAAAGGATATAGAAAAATTTATCGACACTTCGGATTGAAAATGACGATGAAAATCTGGTAGCACCGTACTATGGGAGTGTGGATCGATATATACGGTTTCCAATACTAATCATCCTTGAAGTAGTAGCAATGTCGGTGCAAACTTGCAGATATCTAACTCGATTGAAGGACGTAGAATTTTATTACGATCAAAAAGATATCGCGATATCGCTAAAAAGAAAAAGTATTTTAACTGATTTTTTTGAGACGTAACACTCTCTGAGTAAATGCGCAATATATTCCTTATGGGTTCGTCAAAAAATTTTAAAAAATGAAATTACGAAATTATATACTCCCCCTGGTGTGTGGAACAAAACCACTTTTCTATTATGGATCAAATTTGTCCAATAAGATTATTTTAGAGCCTATATCTCAGAAACCATTTATAAATGTGCTTTACTACCTTTGGCAAAGTTGTATCTGGAGACTATCTGAAAGCTGTTTTGAGGGAATCCAAAAAATATAACTATATCTTGAAGATAGAAATCATATATTACTCTGAGCAATTTTGACCCATAGTACCTCCTTTGCAACTTTTTTGAATACAGGATGAGGGCAGGGAATTTAAGGAATATTTCCTAAAAATTAGCCAAATATTTTTTACAGAAGACTTCAGAAATTTTGAAATTTAAAGAATGTAGGATGACCCCATCCTCAAAATAGATTGGGAGATCTTCAGGATTAATGCTGTGGGATCTTCTCCTAAAAAGTAAGACATATCCCCACAATAGAATACCACTTATATGGCAATTGTTTTAAAGTTCTTTTTTTGGCATGGAGTTTTCGAAATCTAATTTTTTCCAATTTAAATTTCCTTCCAATTTTATTAAAAATAAACATTTCTGAAAAAAAAAACTACATACGAAGTTTTAACAATCGAAATCAGAAGATATATGTCATCATCAGTGATCGCCTGTAATGAAAAAAGGAAAATTACATAAATTGTTTACTTTATTAATTACTAACAAAATTTTGAATAAAAAAAACCTCCCGCCCAATTAAACAATCGACCTTTACCCCACTGATTATAACATTGAAATTTTCATTTCATTTTCATTCGTTCTTACTTTCCATTGAAAACTACAATCAAGCAGCTACATTTGAGTTTGCGCTAGGCCTACGAACACGCATATCTTCTACACTTGCTTTGCTGCCTGCCAGCCGGCTTGGCAACCTACGCATCTACCTAATTGTTGTCATTAAAAAAATGTCACAGTTGTCGTTCATTTGTTTGGCCCACAATCAGAATTGACTTTGCAAAAAAAAAAAAAAAAAAAAAAACGACAGGCCTATTACACTGCCACACTGAAATAGTTTTCGGAACAATAGTAATATTTGAGCTCCAACTCCTCCCTCCCCACCTGCCACCACATAGGTCTTACGGCTTTACACATTCAATTAAGATCGCCTCCTGCACGCTCTCTGGTTCAGTCGCTCGCCTACTCACATTTCCATGCCACGGCCTGTTGTTGTCACATTTTGCCTCACAAAAGAAATTCATGGAACCTGAGACGAAGACGACGGCGACGACGACTACGGCGATGATGATAAATGACAGATTATATTACAACAAGCGGTGCTATTCATGAAAGTGACAACGGCAGCAACAACAACAGCAACAATGCCCATAATAACATCGTTAATAATAGTAAAAATTGAATTTATTGTAGAACTAGTTTAGTAGGAACGATCGGCGAACGACTTGCGAAGTTGCAAATTATTCAATTATTGGCGGTGATTTACGTAATTTTCAATTTTCCTACAAGAGAGAACAGTGGGCGAAATGATTTTTTGAGAGATTTTTCTCAGGGAATAAAGTGAACCTCTTCTGCACTTCTATGAGAGATGATTTTTAAGGAAAATATGTTTTCATTAGCTAAATAATATCTTCAGATCTTCTATTATATCTTTGAGATGATCTCTTGATTTATATAGGACAAGGTTTTCTTGTCATTCATAAAAATATCTGCTGATAGTCTAGGAAAATCTTTTTATTGTTATGATTTTCAAGGGAATGATCTTCTGATCTTCTAGGATAGGATCTTCTTCCAGAAAAAAAATGTCTAGCAGAAGAGCGTATGTTCTTCCAGAAGAAGATTTTTTGATCTTCCTAGAAATCTGATCTTCCAGGCGAAAATCTTCTGTTCATTCAGGAGAAAATCTATTGATATTCCATTAGAAGATCTACTTATCTTCTGTGAGCAGATCTACTGATGTTCTTAGATAAGATCTGCAGATCTTTCAGGAGATCTACTGATCTTCTTAGATAAGATCTGCAGATATTTCAGAAGATCTACTGATATTCTAGGGGAAAATTTACTGAACTTCAGAAGATCTTCTAGGAGGAGATATTCGAATATTCTATGAAAAGATTTTCTGATCTTCTAGGAGAAGAACTTCAGACTATGTAGAAGATAAACTTCCAGGAGAAGATCTACTGAACTTCTGGGAGAATATATTCTTATCTTCTTAGAGAGAACCTTCTGATCTTCTACGTACAGATCTTCTGAGAAAGATAGTCTGATATTCTCGGGTGAAGAGGTGAAGATCTTCTAGGGAAAGGTCTTCTGATCTACAAAGAGAAGATCTTCTAGGAGAAGATCTACCGTTGTTCTAGGATAAGATCTCCTGATCTTCTAGTAGAAGATCTCCTGATCTTCTAGTAGAAGATCTTCTGATCTTCTGGGAAAGATATTCTGATCTTCTGAGAAAAGATCTACTGATTTTCTGGGAAAGATCTTCTGATCTTCTATGAGAAGATCATCAGATGTTCTGAGAGATTATCACATCTTCTAAGAGAAGATCATCAGATCTACTAAGAGAAGATCATCTGATATTCTTGTAGAAAATCATCAGAACTTCTCGAAGAATATGAGAAGATCTTCTGATCTTCTATGAGAAGATCTTCAGATCTTCTAAGAGAGGATCATCAGATCCTCTAAGAGAAGATCAAGTGATCTTCTTGTAGAAGATCTTCAGAACTTCTCTAAGAGAAAATCATCAGATCATCTAAGAGAAGATCATCTGATCTTTTCTGCGAAGATCATCTGAGAGAATATCATTTGATCTTCTATGCGAAGAGCATAAAATCTTCTAGCGGTAGATCTTCCGATCTTCTAGGAGAAGCTTCTGGCTAAAGATCCTCTTCCCGATCTTTCTTCTATAAAAATTTATGAAAACCTGCTATGATAAGATCTTCTAATCTTCTAAAATAATGTTTTCTAGGTAAGATTCTCCGAACTCTTAGGAGAAGGTTCTCCGGACTGCAAGAAAAATATCTTCTGATCTACTAGAAACTCTTCTGAACTTGTTGGAGAAAATCGTCTGATCTGCCCATATGAGATACGTGTGGCGTATAATTACTGTCATAACATATACGCTCCTTAACCCTTAGCATACAACTCCATCTACAGAGAAATACATCCAAACATTATATTCTTCATGTTGCAGAATTATTCATTCAGAATTATTCTTCAACGTTTTACTTTTCATTTCTAAACCTTGCCTTGTTCTCTTGGATTTTCCATAAAATAATTTCTCTAAATAACCTAGCCTATCTTGAGAATTCGCATATCCCAATGATTTTGATTTTCTTCCTATTTTTTTTTTATCAGTTTATTGCTACATTTTATGCTGTGCCTTGTCTAAAAGAACGGGGGTTAGCTGCTGGTTTCTCTCTTTATTTCTACCTAGCTGGGCTGTCTGGCTGCCTAGCTGATCTGGCAAAACGGACTGACAACGAACGTTTACTTTCGAAATCAGTGAAATGGAAACTTTAGCGGAAACCAAAAGTGAATTGCGAATAAATTTTGTTACGTTGAATGTTATGCTTGATATTGGTGTGTCTATGTGTGTGTGTGTGTGTGTGCGGGAATTTACATATATGTATGTATAACATATGTAGATTCCTACATATGTATGCCATGTTCAACAAATTAATGCCATAAATCTTTAAATTGTATATTGAATTTAGACCGGTGCCGATATGCTTTGCATTTTGAATGCATAATGCGAAAGACAACAACAACAAATATATCAACGTATAAATTAACCATTTAAAACTCAAAAAATAAGAAAAAATAAAGCGACATGGTATTTCGGTATGACAATTTTTTTCGAGTACGAATACTAAAACCTGTTTGGAGATTACAGAATAATTATCCGAAAATGTGCCGAAACCGTACAAAAAAATCTCCCTAAATCGGCACAAACTTATGTCTATGAAGAAAAATTTAAATGTATATAGCAAAGACATAAACCACACAAACTGTACTCGAATTAAGAGAAGTTTATTAAAGAGAGCAAGAGAGTAAATAATAGTTTAAAATAAATCTGTCACAAAAAGCAGTAAAAATAAAAAAATCAAGTAAAAATTTATAAATAAAGACATTATAATTAAAAAAAATAATCTCTTAAAAAAAATTTTAAAGGCTAGGTGGACACACACACAAATGTCTCGGGGAGTATTTTCCAAATTAGAGAATTTTTAGGCAAATATAATTTCGAGTTTAGGGAATTTTAGAATTGCCTGAAAGTGTTTCGTTTAACATCAAAGGATTTTCATATAAACGGGTTCTCCGTAAATACGCTTTATGAAATTAAAAGTCCAAAGACTACTTTCTAAATATATGGAACTTATGGGAAAAGTACTCACAATGATCTTTCACTGCACGTCGGTCTCAACTTGTACCATTTTAAATTGTTTCGACATTTTTATGATTTTATATACCCTCCTATACCCTCCATTTTAGGAATGAAGATATATTGAATTTGTCTTTCCGTTACACCTCCAAATATTGATTGGTATAAAGTATATACAGGGTGAGATAAAAAAAACTGCAACAAAGTCAAACGCCATAATTTTTAAATTTTTTTAATTGTATTGAATGAAAGCAAAAAATGTCGGAAATAGCGTCAAAATTATTTTAGATTTAATTTAAATTTTAGAATAAGTTTAGATTTGTTCGAATTGGTCACCTTTGGCACGAATTATGGCCTTCAAAAGGCCAATGAAACCGTTACACCCTGACCGAATGTTGCTCTGCGGTATTTTGACCCATTCCTGGTGAAGCGCTTGCTTGAGGTGATCGACACTTTGGTATTTTTTAATGCCAAACTTCCTTTCCAAAATACTCCAGACACAATAGTCCAACTGATTGGTATCCGGAGATTTTGGTGGCAATTGTGCGCTGGAAATGAAGCGAGGAACCTCATTTGGTAACCATTCTTGTGTGGCGCGTGCTGAGTGCGATGGTGCTGAGTCTTGTTGGAATGTCCAAGGTCTGCGGCCAAAATGTTTGCATGCCCAAGACTTTAATACACACTCGAGAATATTTTCGCGATAATATTCGGCATTTATTCTGATGCCACGGTCGATTAATACGAGCGGAGAGTGACCATCGGCTGTTATGGCGGCCCACACTATCACCATGGCCGGCGCTGCTGGAGTTCTGGTGGCCAACCGAAGGTGCACATTTTCAGCTGACCTCTTTGGCAAGTTAACACGATAATTTTGTTGTTGTTGCTTACAAACTGCTGGACAACGAATGTTTTCTCATCGGAGAAAACCAAATTCAGCAGTTTGGCAGCTTGGCCGAAAGTGGTGGCCAAGCGAATCAACTCTTTAGCGCTTTTGAGTCTCTTTTCTTTCTGTTGAGGTGTCAGTTCTTGCACTTTTGGGAATTTACCCCGAGCTAATTTTTCAATATTTGCCGAATGCAATATTGCGATATATTCAGCTCACAAGCCATTTTTCGGCCACTGCGACGAGGGTTTCGATCAAGTCGCTTCTTTACTTTTCGAACCATTTCTGCTGATATTGCTATTCTCTTCCATCCACTACCTTGACATATGTCGGGATACGCTAGCAGTACCACGTAATCGGTAACGAGCGATGGTACGAGACACAAAAAATTTATTCTCATTTAAATGCTGGAATGCTCTAACGATAGCCACTTGTGGTTTTCCAGCCAAATATAAAGAAATCACACTATCACGCTTGAATGCGATCTGGAATAACGTTTTTTCTGGAAAATTCTGCTTTTGTACACTTGTAAAGAATATAATGAACTGTCACTGGAATAATTTTATCAGCTGTCGGACGGAAGTTAGTTGCAGTTTTTTTGTCTCACCCTGTATATAGTACGAATTTCTAAATCTCCGTGCTTAATTAAAGGCTACCCACTCACAGTAACCCGTCTACCAATATTTACAATTCTTGCCTACACTCTATATTATTCATTCTGGTACTTCCCCCACAAAAGCCTCAAAATTTTGAATGTCCATAAAGTTCATAAAAAGCGAAATTTACATCCGATTCCATTCTAGACTTGGTACATCTCAATATTTCCATCAACACAAGATCTGTTATAAAGATGGTAGAGATCGGACCAGTAACTCCTCTACCAATATTTACCGAAGTGGTGGACTCATAACATGTCATGAGTGACTATATCTGGAATAGATATTATTTTGATAAAACTTTGTTACCAATATTGGCACGCTATACTCAATAATTTCTAAACACGAATGTGTGGAACAGAAGTATTTGAATGAGATTATTGAGAATTATTTTGTCTTAAAATCGTAACATATATTATTTTCTATCGAGATGGACTTTTCACTAACAAAGTAGCGGACACTTGGTATAGTATATAAAAATATATTAAGGATGGAATTTTTCGGAAAAATAAAAATGTTTAATTCTTACCTGAGTTTTGTGTATCTGGAAATCTATAAAGAAAATAAAAGAACTGTTAGTAAAAACTTAAAAAAAGTTTAAAAAATAATGGTGTATTGATTTTATTTATTCTATAAGGGACCCACCCCTGGAATACCCTCTTCTTACTTTTATATTTTTCCCTTCAAAAACCTGAGCATGGATTTTTCTTTTAACAATATTTAATTCGATATTTTTGTTGCTGTCTGCAACTATTTATGCCATTGTCACACTGCCTGCCTGACCGACTGGCATTGCTTTGGCTTCATTTTGTGTAAAACGAAAAATAAGTGAAATTTTTGAACATTATTATTTTTTCGATTGGGATTTTCCCAAAAAACACAACTGCAAAAAACCGGTGTACCTTTGGAAATACACGAAAAACATTTCGTAAATCGAAAACAATTTTTTGGCGACTTTAAGCGACAGTTAAATTTAAAAGAAAATGAAAAAAAACACATTTTGCGAAAAAAACTGGAAATTTAATTTTAAAAATAAACAAATCACAAACAAGTCATTATCAATCAATTCAATCGACATGGTAACAGCAACAACAACAACTACAACAAGGACAACAGCAGAAATATGTGGCCAAGATCTGTGCTTTTTGTGGTATTTGCCAAATAAAATGTTTGTGCCAACATCAGTGGTGGTGTTTGAGTCGCGTATTTTGGCTTAAAGGTTGCTTGGGTTGTTTGCTTGGTTGGATATTTAACTCCATTTGTTATGGTGTTGTACCCTACATGCTTTAGGTGGATGTGGGATTTAGGATTCTTTTGTAAAATGTTTTTTATTTTTCTTTTCGGAAAATATAAAACTTATTTCTTTAGAAGTTATTTTGAGGGTATTACATCCAATTCTTGAAACAAGTCATGAATCTTTACAACATCCGTAAAGGACATTTTTCCATTAAAAAAAGTTATAATAGAGACAGAGAAGTTTGAATTTATCTCTAAATTCATGGTAACCGATATCCAAGATTCTGTCCATCTTTACGGAGTCCCGTTCCAATAACCACTGTTTAGGTCGCAGTTATTTGCAACTTATCGATCTTTTCTTCCAAGTTTTTACTAGAGGGAATGGGAACCATCACATAACTGTCTGACAAAATATTCTGACAATACCATCAGCCATATGGCTAGAGGGGGTATATATCATTTAATATTAGGTCTCTTTGAAACAAATCCGTTTCAGGACATTCGGAGTCGATCTAACGATGTCCATCCGACCGTCTGTCTGTCTGGCTGGTTGGACCAACCACCGGACCACCGGTAACTCTCGAAGAGGGTATCCGATTTGATCCAAACTTGGTACATCGTAATATTCTTATCAAACTTAGATCGAGTTCAGAGATGGGCAATATCGGCCCACTCCTTCTAATAACTCTCCCACAAAAGACCGAAATTTTCAACAAAAATATTTTACTGCACAGAACGAGAAAGGATCATCTGTTTTTGCTTCAACTTAGCAAATCCCAATATTTGCATCAGCGCTAGGTCATGTGCGAAAATGGACAATATCGGTCCACTCCATCAAGTACCTACACCACAAATTTTGTGAAAATGTTGAATAATTATAACTCCCATAAAATGAGCTGTACGTGCCCGATTGCCTTCAAATTACATACATCAGAATATTTTTATTGACCCAAGGTCTGGGGTGAAGATGGGATATATCGGTCAACTCCTTCTGGTACCTCCCCCACGAAGGGTAAAAATATTGAATATTCATGAAGTTCATTAAACACGAAATTAACATCCGATTCCACTCAGACTTGGCACATCTCAATATTTTCAACAACGCAAGATCTGTTATAAAGGCGATAAAGAGATCGGACCATTCCTTCTGATACCTCCCCCACAAAGGGTTATCATTTTGAATAACCAAAACGATCTTAAAATCCGAAATAATCATCAAGTTCTCTTCAAATTTCGAACATCCCATTATTTCTACTAACACAAGATCTGCTGTGAAGATGGGATACATCGGTGCACTCCTTTTGGTACCTCAACCACAAAGGTCCCATATTTTGAATATCCATGAAGCTCATAAAACGTGAAATTAACATCTGATTCCCATCAGACTTGGTTCCATCAACACAAGATCTGCTAATAAAGGTAGTAGATATCGGTTCATTTCTTTTGGTACCCCGCACCCACCAATTGGCTTCAAGATTTTTAAAAACAAAGATCTACACTGATTGGGGTTTGTTTTTATTCAAATGTTTATCGGAATAGAAACATACCCTGATCCATCTAGGATAACCCCTTTCTAATTTAATAAGAGAGAGAGAGAGAGAGTAGATCCAGAAACTTCAAAATTATAAAAGTAGGATCAAAGTTATTTGAAGACGTTCTCAAAGGCGAAATATTTGATTTAAATTATTCTTGCATTGACTTGGCTTGCCTCTTGACCAAAAGCAATGGTGCATATAAATTAAGGTTCGGTCATAGTTATTAAGGTTCAGTCATAGTGTTGTAAAAAGTGGCGCCCAACGAGGGGTTGCCTTCCGGCCGAAACAGGATAAAGAGTGGCTGCATTCATTCAATAATATGTTGTTCAGAGTGGCGCCCAACGAGGTAATTTGATCACTTTTTCTCTCTCACTTACATAAACAATATTTATTGACTGGATATTCATTCTAGATAGGATTCCTATTGAAATTTTTTATTTATGGTAACATTCTCGAGGGTCTTCTTAGCGATAGCAGACATTTTTATATTTCTAGACTTTTTTCCTAGCGGTAATGGTTTGCTTCTTGGCCGAAAGCGATGGTGCATATAAATTAAGGTTCTGTCATAGTTATTTAATAAGTGTTGTATAAAGTGGCGCCCAACGATGGGCTATCCTCCTCTTTTAGGTTGCCTTCCGGTTGAAACAAATGTTATATATGGTTAAAGGAATATCTGCAATCATTCAATATTATGTTGTTTAAAAGTGGCGCCCAATGAGATAACTCGCTCTTTCTCTCATTTACACACTCACAAAATCTAGGAATGGATTTTGATTCTCGAGAGTATCCCTTTTGAGTTTTTTTTTTTATAGAAACTCTCTTAAGTTTCTTCTTAGCCATATCAGACTTTTTATATATCCTCTATTTGTAGGTAACGATGGTGCCTATAGATTAAGGTTTACTCATAGTAGTACTATTAGTGTTGCAAAAAGTGGCGCCCAACGAGGGGGCCATTCTCCTCTTTTTGTTTGTCTTCCGGCCGAAACAGGTGTCTCATATGGATAAAAGAAGTGTCTGCAGTTATTCATTAATTTGTTATTCAAAGTGGCGCCCAACGAGGAAACTCGCTCTCTCTCTCTCACTTAAATAAAAACAAAATCTATGGATTGGATTTTAATTCTCGAGAGTATACAGAGTGATATAAAAAAACTGCAACCAACTTCAGACTGCTGTCATTTCAAAGCCTATTGCCCGACAGCAGTAAAAATTATTTCAGTGACAGCTCATTATATTGTTTACAAGCGCACAAAAGCATTTGGTGAGAATTTTCCAGAAAAAAAGTTATTCGTGATGGAATTCAAGCGTGATAGTGTGATTTCTTTATATTTGGCTGGAAAACCACAAGTGACTGTCGTTAGAGCACTCCAGCATTTAAATGTGAATAAATCTTTTGTGTGTTACTCGTAGCGTAGTCCGACGTCAAGGAAGTGGAAGGAAGAAAACAGCAATATCAGCAGAAAAGGAGAAGAAGCGACTTAAACGAATTACGCGTCGCAGTGGCCGAAAAATGACTCGTGGCCTGAACATACCGCAATATTCCATTCGGCAAATATTGAGAAATGAGCTCAGGGCAAAGCTCGAAAAGTGCAAGAACTTACACCGCCACAGAAAGAAAATAGACTCAAAAGAGCTAAAGAGTTGCTTCGCTTGGCCGAAAGTGGTGAACTGCCGAATTTGGTTTTCTCCGATGAGAACACATTCGTTGTCCAGCAGTTTGTAAACAAATAAAATTATGGTGTTTACTTGCCAAAGAGGTCAGCTGCAAAATGTGCACCTTCGGTTGGCCACCAGAACTCAAGCGCCGGCCATGGTGATGGTGTACGTGGCCATAACAGCCGATGGTCGCTTTCCGCTCGTATTAATTTACCGTGGCATCAGAATAAATGCCGAATATTATTGCGAAAATATTCTGGAGGGTGTATTAAAGCCTTGGGCACGCAAACATTTTAGTCGCAGACCTTGGACATTATAACAGGACTCAGCAGGCGCCACCCAATAATGGTTACAGAATGAGTTTCCTCGCTTTATTTCCAGCGCACAATGGCCACCAAAGTCTCCGGATACCTATCCGTTGGACTCTTGTGTCTGGAGTATTTTGCAAAGCAAGGTTGGTACTAAAAAATACCAAAGTGTCGATCACCTCAAGCAAGCGCTTCGCCGGGAATGGTACAAAATACCGCAGAGCAACATTCGGTCAGCGTGTGACGGTTTCATTGGCCGTTTGAAGGCCATAATTCGTACCAAAGGTTACCAATTCGAACAAATCTAAACTTATTCTAAAATTTGATGCTATTTCCGACATTGGAAAGGAGGGTATATTAACTTTGTCATTCCGTTTGTAACATAACATATATTCATAATCAGCATTAAATTCTATGTCGATTTAACGATGTCCGTCTGTCTGTCTGTTGAAATCACGAAACAGGCCATATTATTTGACGCAGAGCGTCAAAATTTAGCAGAGCAATTTGTATTGTGTCTAGGATGGTTGGTATTGAAAATGAGATATATCTGTCCACGTTTTGGTATAGTCCCCATATAACGGTACTTCCCGATATTCGGTATTTTTATGATTTTTGCCACACTTTTTCACGGATTTGTCTAAAAATTTGTATTTGTTGGTCATAATGGGTACTACTTCGTGTGGCGAAACATTGCATGTATAGGTCCACGCTTTGGTACAGCCCCCATATAACGGTATCTCCCGCTATTCGGTATTTTGATGATTTTTGCCACATTTTCCCACGAATATGTCTAAAAATTGGTATTTGTTGGTCATAA